TTGTTAATTCATGAAGAAAATCGCTAGAGTACGAAGGAAGCTAGTTTAGGCCTAAAGTAGCATTTGCAAAATTCCTGCACGCTCGCATCCTATAAGAGATAACATAATTGCCGCTAAAAACTCTTGAAAGCAAACTCTTGACTTGATTAGTGTGTGTTTACACATTTTATTAGAAGGAAAACGCCATTCAAAACAATTTGAAAGAAATGCAACGCATATACATATGTAAGCAAACAAGCACACTGCCTGCAGCAATTAGGGACAAATATTTGTCATGCTAATAATAAGTATAATGCGTTAGGATAAACATACGATTCAAAATAATTCTCATTTTCTAAAAGGCTTATTACAAATTCCTAGATGTGATTTGCCTTCGAAAAATGATCGCCAGCTATCGGACGATTATTCTCATATGCGCGAAGAAAATTTGCAAAAAAATATGCTCATCACATATCAGTGAAATATTTATAAAGGTAAACCATCATGTCTTTCACATCGTACAAATTAAAAAAAATATCGAGCCTTTAGAAATTCAAAATTCGCATTTCTCGTTCAATTTACATTCATTTGCGCTAACATTCACTATTGGCCCAAATCAATGAGGTCTATAAGGGTTGACATTTTTTGGCTACCTTGGCATATACTCAGTCTTATTTGTTTACGATCTTTCGTAAGGGATTTTTTCAACCGCCAATCGATCGTGAGTTTACGTTCAACGCAATATTTAAAGTTTTGGTTTAGTTAGTTGTGGGTGATATCAGAAACCAGCGTAGCTAATAAAACGTAATCTGTCGACAGCGAAAGGAAAAACTTAAGAAAGCATCCAAGACAACCCTTACACGGTCTTCGATACTCATTGCTATGCTTTATAAACATTTACAACAACATTTGCTATTTTTATAAACATCAAACAAAGGATCGCGACCAACAATGCAATGCTCGCGGATTCAAATACCAAATGCGATGGAGTTTTAAACACAAGCGAGCTTATGATCTAAATTATCAACCAGCCTTTCAATCAATGCTTTGTAAATTTCTTTACAAACCATATACACAATAAATAAATATCGTATAGGCTCAAGAGCAATTTCAAAAAATTTTCCCTAATCACTTACGATCCAACATATATCGGGACTTTCTATATAAATGATACCTAACTGCTCACATCTTTCTATTATTATTATTATTATTAATTTCGTCAGAGAAATAAATTCTAAGATTAAACTCTTAAAAGCACTAACATCTAAGGCTATTGGCTTTTCTTTTTTTTTTTTTTTTTATTTAAAACTCTACCGCACTTGAGATTCGAACCCACGACCATTGACTTGCTAATCGAGATTCCTCGCCTTCGGCTACTCAGGCGGATAGACACATCTTTCTAAATTGTTGTCCATTAAGGCAACGGAAAGACTTTATTTCTTGGATATGTCAAGTTGATCTCGAATAGATCGAATTTATGGAAATTTTTTCAAACATTCTAACACAACTATTGCGGTTAGAAAAGGGTAAACATATGCAGAATAAAGTTTTTGTTTTCTTTTTTTTAATCATTTCCAAATTATTCGTTATAGAGTCTACTCCTATGTCCTATATTAGGTAGTCGGGAAGTTTTCTTGCGGTTTTGCACTTTTATACGAATTAAGTTGTATATGTCGATTAGCTTCAATCATAATCTGTAGTTGGTCGTTGTCAATGGTATTTGCTCTAGGGGAGTGTAGTAAAGCTTCCACTCAAAATTTCACAAAACAATTTTGACAAAGGCGTTCTGCTATTGTATTAGTTGCATATATAGCACACATTCCTCTATGTGCTTCTGCAGCTTTTTTACCTTTTCCAAATGCTCAGTTTGGTCTTCCACGGCTTACTTACGTCTCACTACTGTAATACAACCGATCACTGCTCTGCATATGTATATGTAGGTATCTTTACCACTAATTATTTGTCTAGCTATCTAAAAAAGTTATTTTAACCTGATGTTTAAAATAACGGCAAGAAATTTCCAGCCTACCTAATATTATAAATAACGCTAATTATTTATAAATAGTGATAAAATATGAAAGAGAAGAAGAAGAAGAAGTAATTTATATTGCGATTTGTTTGAAGAAGAAATCAACTGAACCTAATGTGAACAAGAAGAAGCAATTTTGGTTGTGAATTCCAACTTCATCGCACTATTTCTACCATTCAGCGATCATCGGGCTTGGATTTATTGCTTGCATCTCACTTTTTAATTACGTTACGCATATTAATAAATATTAATAGAAAAAGGACACAACAACTGATGTTAGTTTAGAAAGAATTTATTTTAGTTTTGTGTTTGACTGCAATTTGATTTTTAGTAATTGATTGATAGTTTTGAAAATGAAATTTTTACATACATAACTGATAAATGATTACTAATAGCCTTGAATTATTTCAGATATATTTATTGCATATCTTTAGACCTTCAGGCAAACACCCAATGAAATGCGAAAAAATCAAACTCCTACGAATATATATAATAGGTATCTTGTGAAGGACATACTTGCAAAACGAAAATGTCGTGAAAAGTGTTCTTGCAAAAAATCGTCACAGGAAAGGGAAAGGGAAAGAGAAAGGGAAAGGGAAAGGGAAAGGGAAAGGGAAAGGGAAAGGGAAAG